ACCTGGCCAGCAACGTCCCTTTTCATGTACTTCTGGGACGTGGGTGGACCAATCAGGTGCGAGCTATGAGCTCATTGGTGCTCAATCAGACTGCTGTCACCAGGACCCAGCTCTCACCACAGTCAGTTGTGGCAGTTGCGCCTCAGAGCCCTTTTATGTATGGCGCACTTCCTGGATGGTGCCCTGGACCAATCAGGTGCACGCTATGGGCTGACTGGTGACCAATCAGGTGCTGTGGGCTGATGGGTACATGGTCCAATCAGCAGCAGGATTGAAAAATGGTCCAATCACATGAAACAGCCCAAATACCCCAAAGCAGGAGACTGGATTACAAAGCTATGGTCCATATGCACAATGGAATATTACTCAGCAACCAAAAAAGAATCACGTGCCTTTTGCAGCAACATGGCTGGAGCTGGGAGGGAACAAGCTGAATGAAATAAGCCAGAAAGAAAAGGAAAAATGCCAGATGGTTTCCCTCATAGCAGAGCAAAAAGGACCAGGGAGAAACAGAACAATAATGAACAATTATATACCAGAGACGTTTTACGGGGGTGCAGTGGGGACTGGGGTCAAAAACGGAGTGGGGGGAGGGAAATGCACTGGACTATGGTGATGGCACACGGGGGAACTGGTGATGGGAGGCCCATGGGGATTATTACAACTGAGATGGGAAAAGGTACAAAATGATGTAAAAATAAACTTACATTATTAAAAAAGAAAAATGGTCCAATCAGACGTGTGGGTGGGGCTCCCTGAGCTGAATATAAGCTGGTCTCATCCTGGCGGGTCCAGCTGCTGAGGAAAGGCAGCTCCTGGCCTCTGAGGAGCGAGATCCAGAGGCTGAAAGAAGAAAAGAAGCGTCCAGTAGCTGGCCCAGGGGGAGGGTGAGATGCTGAAGATCTTTGCAGAGTCTGGGCCTGGGCCTGGCGTCCCTCAGAGCTGATGGCCGTGGGTGTGGTCCAGCCTCTCACAAAGGGCTGTTAACACTGGGTGTCCTGACCCCGCCTCCAGGTGTTCCAGGGCAGCCCAGAGTGGACCGGGCGCCTGCCGGCGGGCCTCACCCGCACTCACAATTCGGTTACACTGCAGGCGCGCAACAGGGTCAATAGCAGGTTTATTTACAAAAGGGGACAGGAACAGAAACAGCCAGGGAAAGAGAGCGGGACACAGAGCCACTGGACACCTTACCGCTGGGCTGACGGAACACACCGGGTCACTCCGACCGGAGAGCCGCTTCCCAGCGATGGCGAGAGAGCAACCCGCCCTATGTATCCCCGAATGTCCCAGAATTCCTGCTGGCTCCGCCCTGGGGTCCTCGCAGCTCTCTCCCGGGTGCTGCTGGGAGTTGTAGTTTCCGTCACTGGCGTAGGGGCGGGGTCCAGAACGCTGGAGGAGGGGGTGGAGTCCACAAGACTGCCAGGTTCCCTTTGGACAGCCTTCCCCTTAACACAGGGACCAGTAGCAACCATCACACTGCCATTGTTTCCAGCACACCTTGTGACTGGTGACCACCAGGGCTGACCAGGTGGCCCGACGTGTGCCCGCGTGAGCGTTGTGTCCCCCAGGTCCCCTGGGCCCCAGGCCAGTCAGGGCCCCCCCCATCACTGGCCACTCTCCCTGCAGCCCCACAGCTCAGCCGCACAGGCGTTGCCGCTGGGCAGGGCTCTGCAGGCCCAAGTCCAGGCTGGTCCCGGGCCCGTGCCCTCGCGGCAGGCCTCCGGGGCTCTGCTGGCCAGCAGGGGCAGGCGGGGCGCCTGGTGCCGCTCGTGCTCCTGCCTCATGGGGCACAGGGCGGGCGGGGCTGGGAAGCTGTGTCCGTCGCGCGCCTGAAGGACAAGCGGAGCTGGGGCGTGTTAAGTGCAGATTTTGCGAAAATGGAAACCTGCTAGCTCACGAGGCGCCACGTGGTCACGCGGGGAGCTGGGATGGACGCAGCTGGCCGCAGCCTGCTCGGGCGCCTCTTGGCGATGGCCGGCAAGCGCGTAATCCGCCCACTGCGCTGCTTCCAGAGGAAATGGTTTCCTAATTATCGAAGCATCTTTTGTTGCTACTGGAAATTAAATCTTTTCAATTTCTTGTAAATGAATTTTAAAAATAGAATTCGTGCTGAGCTCATGGAATCTTGCCTTCCCGTGACATGCCGCTTTTAAATTTCTTTTTAAGCCTCCCCAGGCTTGCACAGGGGCAGGGCATCACCGCGGGGTGGCCCAGCTGTGAGGTGCTGCCTGGCGCG